TTAATAGTAGTACTATTTAGCCTATACTTTTTACTGGAATGGCGACAATACGAAAGTATGTAGTAATGTAGTTTAAGCCAAGTATGAATAGATATGAATGTAGGATGAGTAGTGCGATCTTGTTAGTGACTAAGGCCGACATGTTCCTTAGACACAGCTGTTAATTAATAGCCCATACAGCTAATGGCAACAATTTGTAGTGGAATCCGAACCACATTTTGCCCTGTAATTTACGAATTGGTCTTATTATCAGAATAGTAGTAGTACTCACTAGTGCGGGCGTTAATCTAGGTGTCTACATTTTATTCTTCACCCAAATAATCTACAAAATGTCCACAAATATGTTGATTATTGTTAACGATAACGATGCAAGAAAACATAGTAAGATTAAAACAATTTTGTTCAGTACAATTTCAAGTGTTTTTAGATAAGTGAATCGCCATCCAACATAACTTTACAACTTTAACTCACTTGTGTACCAATGCTAGCTATAAGCCCATTCCGTTTACTACCGCCCATACATTTCCAAATAACCTACATGGAAATCTATTGTGTAGATGTAAATGAAGTTTCATTACAAAGCCAGTAGCACATATGACGTTTTATGAGAAAGGGAGTGGGACTGTAATCGCAAACATTGTAGGTTAGCTCAGATGATCTTTCAGATACCAGTTCGGGCTACTTCGCGACTTTGTTAACTACTTACTTTCCCTTGTTAACAGTTAAACGGGACAACAACACGACAACATGCAGGTTAGTTGCAACAAGGGCAAAATGGCGCCATGCGGAATACAGTACCGTACAGGGATTCGCTCTCTGTTTAGCCATAGGTGGTCCAATTATGTAGAAAAGTATATGAATTTGATTTTACGTATATAACATGTTTCACATTGCAATATGCCTAGCACTGTTCCGTGCAAATTCAGCATAATGAGCAAAAGATATGAATGAGCATTTTACAAGTTTGTTTTATAATTGCCAACTGTGATATTATTTTTTATTCGGATTCTTGCAATGATTCAAAATCGGGAAACCCAACCTTGATTTTAGTTTTTACTCTGTATAAAAGACTTTGTCATTGTGATCAATATAAATTGTATTTTTCTTTCTTATTTTATTTTGACAAAATCATAATCCGCTTATCCGTAAACCGTTGTACAATGTGTAGTTGTGGGTTAGAGTAGGGGTTTAAATTCCGCCACTCACAAATTTAGGAACCCACCTTTGTCTATACTCACCTATCTATCTACTCACCAATCTATACCCAACCATCTTTCTATATATGCGATATGTTTCTTAGGTGATGAGATCCTTCTTCGCTCGGAAGAACTTCCCATACTGTAACTAAGGTCATAGATCTACAATAATTTTAATTATGTAATTGTATATGCTGTTTTTTGCTTTTGAAATTTTGAAAAACTTCTTTTTTTAGACTCTTCACAACAGGTTTTCAAAATTTCAACTGAATACATCGAGGTTACGCTATTTGTATCCAAGTGTAGACAATAACACTGGTAAACACTAGAAATGTTTCCTCGACAGTTTTCTCCTCTATCACTGATAGTGTCGCGTTGGAAGCTCTATTGTGTAAAGCGGCTCGTCGTGCGACGGTTGCGCCACTGGTAATCTTGATACAGAAATTACTCAAGAAATTTCGCACCAAAGGGAGGAGGCACGACGCTGTTCCAGTCGTGCTCGATAACAATCGGTCGCGGTGACGAAACTGCGTTACCGACGGAAACGTCTCAATGATACTGCGTTATCGACGAAAACGTCCCAGTACGTGCTGTACGTGTTGCTAGAGATCCAGACAATTGCTGCGGAAGACATCGATGAAAGGAAATGACTAGAGGAATGGAAAGGAATCAAGAGCATGATGTTCCTTCTCAAAAGCATAACTCATGACGACATTGCACCGAAACGTATTTTCGGGCCAGTTCCTGGCATTTTCCAAACAATGCCTTAACTCAGTTGAAAATTGAAAATAATTCAAATTACAGCGAAAAAAGATTTTGGTTGGACATAAAACTGGTCTAAGCCTAAGGAAAATTTAAGAACTTATAGTTGAAGCCGTCATTATGGAAATCCTTAGAGCAGTTCCTTTCGAAATTATACATTTCGTAGCAGTGTCTGGATGCGCAAATTCTTTCGGAACAGTGCCTTAGCAGTGTATTATTTTCGGAGATGTTTCTTTTGGAGTAATTCCTTCAAGAAAAAATACCTGATTTGTCAAATTCTTCTAGAGCAGTACCTAGATACGCATTCTAAGCGGTGTTTTTCGAAGTTATGCCTTTCGGAGTACGCCATGGATCGCACAAAATCATTAACGTACCCATCATCCCACACTTGTAGAACAAACTCCCCATCAGATGATAACGTTTACACACCCACGCCAGAAATCGCTGGTTTCGCGATGCACGGTTCTCGTTCAACAACTTTCGCCACGACAATGGCCCATCCTCACAAATGTCACACTTTCACAGCTGACATTTCCCCGCCAGAAGAGCATCTCCGATCAGCTGATTCCCAACATGCCGACAATCAGGTGACCTCACAGCTGTAATCGTTGTTTTTATTACCCTTCTCGATATAGGCTAAGTATTCTTTGTCTTGCAGTTCAGCTTGCTATAGATTTGCCACGTATGAAATGTATGATGGGATATTTGTATATGTGCTGAATCATTGCCAATTCTAATAGACTGTGTACTAGAAAGGCTATGGCTGGATACGTTCAAAAGCACAATAAATGGTTTAGAACCGCTTATTGTTCTCCTTAATTGCATCCCAAGAGCATATGCTTTTTCGAGATCGTCAAGATACACATTCTAAACACTCAACAGTTAACCTAACAGCCACGAATGTGTTCACATACTCTACCCACCTTTCACTATACATAAAGAATCGTCATAAGAACCTCCTTTTTCCCCAAGACCACGCTCTAGCCCGGGATCGTTTTTCACATTACTTAGGCTAGACCTAGTTTGCAGCATTCTTGGATAAAATATATTGGTGTTTGGCTTGATTTGAACCTGGGACCCTAGGTACCGAAGTCCCTGCTTTACAACTAAACCAGCTCGCGGCTGTAATGACTTTGGAGGTTTATTCAGCCGCACTATTTCACGTTCAAGTCAGTGTAGCCACCAATTACTTCTAAATTTTCCTACATTCGGAAAGGGAAAATACATCTTAATCTGTACAGATCTAAATTCCCCGTACAGAGTCGTGTAGAGTTTGAGAGTTGCGACAGTTGTAGTCGGGACAGCGACCACAACTCGTCCATCAACTCTACCGCGCCGTCAGCAGGTCAAAGGTCAAATCTACAGCCTAATGGGGCCTTAAACGGTCGCAATCTTCCCATTAGACGTTATATATGGACTGCCATTACGTTCACCGAATGTATAGTATGTTTCTACGAATCTCAAATTTAGCAATCCTCGGTGATTAACGGGCAAATGTATTACTTGAAAGTGTTTTGTGGTAAATGGTCTTGTGGAGGGGCTGTAGTCGTTGCACTAAAATTTATTGCGTTTAATTGGAGATGGAAGAAAGTAGTTTATGGAGAATTGTTAGGGATTACTTTATCAGATAGCATGTGTTTCGATAGTTCAACAGGTTGTTTAGAAAGTGCTATCACAAATCAATAAGTAGGCATACAAGAGTAAAAGTGTATGCAATACATTTGTATGCAAACATTATGATGCAAATTGTCAGAATATTTTACAATGGTATATAATACTAATACATAATTTAATGCTTTCAATTATGACTTTCTGCAAGTGCATTTTAATTTCGAAGGTAACTTACTTAACATACTTACTAATATTTAAGGGATTCTCCAGTAAACATATCCTCACATATTTTTATCTGGTAGGCCTATAATGGATTAAAATAACACAAAAATAGAGTTATTGCAAAATAATTTTTGGCCTATTTTACACTTCTTAAATTCAACTACATCATTTTCATCACAATTTTGAATTAAAATAAGTAAAAGTATAACTCAAATTGTCTTCTTATGCTACAAATTATGGGTATTCAAAAACTATCTCGACCAGATAGCACACATCCAAAACAGTTTATTTAGATTATTAAATCAAATCAAGGCTACTTTTACAGTGCAACTTGCTCGAAATTACTTTAGCGATCCTGTCATAACCGTCAGTCGACGAGGGACCATGAATAATACATGAGTGACAGAAGTGTGGCCTTGTCTGCTGTCTGAGACAGTTGTGTAGCCAAGGTCAGATCTGAACTGCTCAATGTCTTGGAGCAGACATTCCTTAACTTCTGATTGCTGTTCCAAGAAATGGTCCATTAGCCAGGTTTGGACTGAGTGGGATGAAATTACATGCGTGGCTCTAAATCCGTGGTAAAATGGTATGCAGAATCGTGCTCGTGATTGGTCAGTGATCGATATTCTATTATTAGATTTTTTGAAGGTCGGAACCATCTAAGGACTTTTGGTGACATTGGCATTACATAAATGGTTAGCTGCAATATCACCTCCTGGTATATTTAGCCCATAATAGTATTCATTTATATACTATTTATTTACAATCAATTTTCACATTTGAGAATTCCACCGAAAATTCTAACCAACTAACTTCTAAACTTCTAGGAACCCGGACCCCCTCCTGGTGTGGAACACCTCTGTTATCGGATTTTGGTCTTTGGAAATTAATTATTGGACCTTGAACTGGCGAAAATCCTGGTCGACTTTTCTAATACCTTTCATCATTCTATCTTTGAGGTATTCTAAATTACGACCACAATTCAACAAAACTGTCATCTGCCGAAGATCAGGATTCCAAAAAACTGATTAGTTAAATTAATGGTTGTGTTGATACTGAAATTGAGTTCCTAGAGTAGAAGACAAGGGCTCGCGCTCTCAACTCTCAAGAATCTAACCAAACTCAGATTTCTTCCTGCTGGTGCTATTTATATTCTTAATCCAGAAGATCTCAAAGTGCAGTTATTCACGGTATGTTTCTCTGTTGCAGTGACGCGGCTGGAGAGCGCCTGGCACGTTGCTACCACGGAGGTAGTCAGTACTTACAGAGCCTTCTCCAGAGAGCTGGTCCATGCGGAGCTCGGTGCCTACATAGGACTTGGCCATGTCAACATCACTCTTCGAGGTACGGCTAGGCTAAGCACTGTCACAAAGTAAAATTAGATAGTATGATTGAGCTCATCCAGATGTGACTTATCTAGGTGATCTTCCAATAACGACATTTGGAACACAGGAAGATTCTGGATCAAGGTTGCAGCAATAGTCTGTATGCTGAAACTTGTCTCTTGAGCCTACGTCTATCTGGGACTGATCCTGTCCTACAATTATTATTGACCATTCCCAGGTAGACCTGGGCCAGGAGAAAGGTTCCATCAGATAGAGTATAATGATATTTTATCTCTTTTCATAGCCCGCCAATTCTACCGGAATGTTGCTTGATAGAACTTGACTTATTTTGATACGTCAAATTCAATTCGTGAAATAGGCCTATCAAGGATGAGTTTATAAAATTAACACAGTTTTGTGATCATAATTCACAGTGGTGTCATCATCTTTGTCAGTTGGAGATTGCAGACATTTCATCTCATTGAAGATTCGTTATAAGAAGCTAAGCTGAGATTGTGGAAGCATCTTCGTCTAGGAAGGATACGTCTGATAGCAATCTTCAGGTGATACTGTGAATTCTATTGACACCAGCCTCGAAAGCCTAGGAATGAGTGCAATGCAATGTGTAGTTTCAGTTGGTTGAAAACTTTAGTCTCTTTTAGGACAAATTCTTTCAGCCAGGAATGATAACCATTCTACTATGCCTGCTTGACACTCCCAGCTCCCGCAGAAGCTTTAGACCACCGACGGAACTAGTGTACTGCGTTCTCGGACAAGAGTTAATTAACGTTACTTTGTGTCGTGTGGTCCATGTACATGTATGTGATGACGTAACGTATCCTTGGGCAGAACTGTCTCTTGCTAACGACTGGACAACCGACAACCGACCACCTGATCGCAGTCTAGTTTATATAATACATTTTCAGCTTCCTTTGTCTCTAATAACCTGTACGTTGCGGTAGCTAAGGACATCTTACGCTCATGTTCTGATGAGAAGTAACTATTTTAGGTTAAAATAAAGTCTTTTGTGAATTTTCCTCAATTTAATTTGTTGTTTGTAAAGACTGTGTATTGACATCTACGACGAATGCCTCAACCTACCACACCCTACCACTCCACTAAATTGCAACTCAGCGTTTACTTCAGTACTCAGTCCCTGACAAAGCTGCCCTTTATCAAAAAAAACTCCTGTGACTTAAAGACTTAAAAAAGTGTCAGTGGCTCTCAACCTGTATCTTCATGTAACAATTTATTTTTTTGTCTATCTTGTAGCTTCCACTGGAAAATCTTCATTGTCGTCTTTTGACATTTTAAATTCAAAAGGTGAGATCAAGCAAAGAAGTAAATCTTTCTCAGATCTCTTCCATCCATCATAACCCTGCTGCGTCTAACTCTTCTAAGAATCTTCTTCGATGAAATCAACGTTATTTACAAGTTCGCTCTTTACATTTCGCACAACCTGAACTTAAGGATCAATGTTGTCCGAGTTCTGAGCAGATCCGACCCACATCTCGTTATGTCGTGACTCCTCATCTCGTGAGAAAACATGAGAAAGTGATTGATCGTCGGCGCTCGACATCGTCAGCCACCCGCGGTGAACATCGCAATCAACCAGACCAGCACTGACCATCTGCCCATCTGCATGTTAAGTTGTCTTAACGGGGTTTATTGGGCAACTCTTATCTGTGTCCATCGGAGATCTTCAGATTGTACAAGTCCTATTTGACAGGATGAAAGTCAAGTTGGCATTGGATTTCATGTTGGATTGTCAAGTAGTCTGATTAAATCTTAGATTTTATCCATTTAGGATGTTTTGTTAGTTTTTACAGCTGACTTTGAAGGTGTTTTGGATAGGCTATTGGTAGGTTCTAGGTAGGCATTTGTGACTAAACCATTTAGTAACCAGTAAAAAAAAACCATTTTAGTGGGCCCTTTTGAACATAAGTATTGAGTAAGTTTGTAAAAATGGTCTTTCTTGCTATATCATAGACTTACACTCTTATACTGAGACAAAAGTTGAATTCGTATTCAACTGAAACGTAATCGTTTAGTATTTTGCAAAACAGGTTAACAATAATAACTATGCCTATATCTAGATGATCTTATCTTGGTGGTTTCTGTGAAAATTTTTATTAGTGAAGTTGGATTATTTCATAAGACTGTGCTAATATTTTCCTGAGGTTCATTTCCCGAAGTTGAATCATTCACATTTTTTTATAAAAGATCGCGATGTATAAGAAACGTTGAAATTCTACACCACACCACTAGGCCTACTGTTACTGTATTCACCGAATCGAAAGTAGGCCTACTGGTTACCCATACTTTATAATGATTATCCTTTCCAATAATTGAATCGTTTCTACTTTATGGCCAATCTTGTCGTGTAAACTAACCTTCCGAGCTTTCTGGAAATAACTGTCACGGAACGACCTTTAGCCCGCGCTAAATCTTTAACGAACCATGACGTAGATGTTGAAACTATAAAACTGAATTCTGTCATAAAAATGAATTGTGTGCAGCTGGTTTAATTATCAAGGGACACGAGATGCGGAGGAACGAGGGCGGTCGCGTGGAACGTCGGTCTGTGAACCGTGACTGCTGACGAAACAGGGGAACGCAGGAATTGGTCACATCATAGATTATCCAGTAACCACATATAACATATAATATTGTTGTTACGACATGGTTTTTTCGTAAGTTGTTTTACCATGCATTAATTGTTAGTTGAAAAGAAGGGAATAAATTGGGGTTTCCAGCAGAGTTTTTGATTCAAAGACCTAACTGGATGGGCCCTTTCTTTTCCTATGAGTTTTTTTTTCAATTGCTCTTTGCAAGGACTAGACTTGTTTTTTTTTTCAATACAACTATGTTATTTAATCCAACAAGACAAAAGTGTTATGTCTGTATAGTGGAATATGTCTCTAAATCTCTAAAACCTGGAACTGGTGCAGGCCTTTTGAACCATCGGCCAGCCCCAAGGTAGACAGAGGATCAGGAGATAGGCTCTTTTATACAGAGTATAAGTATTAACTAGAACCTTATCCCTCACTCTCATTCAAAAGCAATCACCAACCACCCAACCATGAAACATTGTTATACAGTATTTTACAAAATCTTCTTATAGTTTCATGGGTTTTCACTGTTACAGCCATATCAGACAACTCCAGTGAGGACATCGACTACAACGAACGCTTCTCCTGGCTGGGCTCGACGGAGATGGGGGAGAGTTATCGTGAGGCGCTGGTGCGAGGCGTTCCCTTCCCTATCCTCAAGGTGGCCGAGTACTTCAGTCTGGGCGAGGAAGGGTTCACCTGGGGTGGGCAGTACAGGGCGGCGGGGTACTACGGCGGTATCTTCCTCTGGTAGGTTGTGAAAGACTTGAGAAGACTTTGTCCAATAGCTCCAGTAGGCACTTAAAAGACTGAAGAGCACATAGTCCAATAGCTCCAGTTAGCTTATCGCTCACTGAAACACCACGATCCCGATCACCTTACCTTAAGTATGTCTTGAATAGAATGATAAAACAATTGGTAGAGTTTTCATGTTGAAAACACAGATTTAATCAACCCAAAGATGCTACCACTTGCCACCTTCTTTGGTTTGGCTAACAACTCGTTCATACACCTACATTTTCTACATTTACATCCCGTACTCTCATTTGCTCACCAAAGTGTAGATTGTATGCATTTCAACTCAAAGAGTTTTAGAATACCTCTTGGTCACAAAACCTTGCAAAAGGTTTGTTTGCTGAAGGCTAAGGTGCTTAGAGGCTATGTTTTGTATGCAAAGTGGGAGGTGACCCACGAATACTGTGTGGAATAGTGATCAGTTGTAATGTCCAGTCCTCCAAAATGAAATGTTTAGTCCAACATGTGTTTATGCAAGGGTCATGGACACATGAATGAAAATGACTTGTGTCATTGGCAATAATATAAATTTTTATGGTTCTTTCCACTTTTATAATTTATTTTATCCAAATAGGAAGGGAAATAGCTTAAGTTGCCTCTTTCAAATTCAAATGTTGTTTGTTCAATCCGAAACGGGTTGATTTGATATTTTTTTCATTGGACAATCAATAAATAATACTATCTAAGAGAAGGTAGATGTTAGGTGGTAAAAAACTTGAGTTTGGTCCATTCCTTTACAGTAGAAACCTAATAAAAGCCATTCCACTAATATAACCATCCAGAAGAAAACCCTCCGTCAAAACTTCCTTTGACAACTGTTTGACCTTGATGTTCCAGGGCAGCGTTTGCTTGTTGGCTCCTGATGAACCTACTGCTAGTGGTAGTGCCAAGGTACGGAGCCTACGCCATGACAGTGACAGGAGCCCTCATGTTGGGGTCTGCTCTAGCCTACCACTGTCTACTGCCTTCCACCCCCCTGCGAGTCAGATTCGAGAACGACATGGAACTTGTCTTTCATCTTGGCTGGTGCTTCTACCTTGTCATCATTGCAGGTAAGATAAATTGTTGAGATAGTTTGAGCTTTGGTGAAGTATGTTAGTCACAGAGAAGTAAGGTGCAAAGGAAACATTCAACGGTTCACTTAGTGGTGTCTAGCACTAGTCGCTGGTGTCTAGGAGATACCTAGTTCAACAACGCCACCCCTCACAATCATGTACTACAACGCTCGCATGGTGAATGACCCCGTGCCCTGTGCGATAGAAATTTCTGCGCAGTGCTTGAAGTAAAAAAAATATAGCGAATTTCCATTTGTCCGAATTGATTTTAAATTAAATCTATTAAAATAATTTTAGATTTAAGTACCTAGGTTTGCTGCTACAGGGAAACTAATAAAGTGTGTTTTTTTACTAAAATATTAATAGCTTAGTATAAAATAAATAAATCTGCCAAGTTTAATCAAAATACATCCTTAAAGGGGCACTCCACCCAAAAACTGGCCTAAAGGCAAATTTTTTAAAAAACAATTTTTATTGTTTTATTTTTTTCTCTGGTTTTCCCCGAACACATTGGTGTGCAATATGTAGTAGTATATATTCTATGATTTGTAAGTAGCCTACAAATGATCTGTAAAACTTTGGTTAAACCAACAGAATTGTGTTTCCTTTCGTTTCCGGGGCGATTACCGAAAGTTTGATTTTCACATGTTTTAAAATACGGGAACGGATGTAACTCAGGTTCTATGTGAGATAATCTAATAATCTTTTTTTTATTTTGAAGGTTATAGTGTATTCTACAAACTGTAGCATGGATTTACACAAATTCAGTTTTTAAATATTTGTAATTTTATTATGAAACAATATTTTTGAAAAGAAATTGTTTTTCAAATTGTTTGATAATTTTTTTACATTTATAAGTAGTGGATTAAAATTTCCATGCTACAGTTTGTGCACACACATGTGCTCTACAAAATAAAATTTACAAAATCAAGATATCTCATACCTACCTTAAGATACATCCGTTCCTGTAAACATCGATCTTTTCAGTAAAATCGACCCCCCTGTGGGGGGGATCATGAAAAGGGGGTAACCCCATATTTTCTTTTTATTTTGATAGCCTAAACTAATGTGTAAAATAATAAAATGTTTCATACATAAATAAAGATTTTTTTATTTTGGGTGGAGTGCCCCCACAAGCCAACTACAAAATTTTACAATATTCTCCATAAGAATAACTTTACCATGAAATTGTTTTAAAATTTTCTCCGTAACCAATAACCGGAGAAAAACTCTTTGACGTGCGTAATTATTTATTTAAAGCTATTTACAAAGGTCTGGAAAAAAATTTATTATTTTTTTTGTTTTAAGGGTAAAAAATGAGAAAACCCCATTTCTATCCCATAAAACCCTCCGTTAAACCCCGTTCCCTGGTCCGATCATGCTGGTTCGCGAACTCATTCATGTTTATCTTGCTTTACACCTCAAGACAAATTTTATCAAAATCGGATAAAAATTACCCAAGTTATCGTGTTCACGGACACATATAACTCTCTCTATACTGTATATAATATATACATATGTGAAAATTTGAACGAATGTGTTTTGGTCTCTAGGGACATCAATAGAAAAAGTGAATCGGTCCCGGGCCTAGGTGTTACCGTGCCACCTAAGGTAATACAGTAGGGAAATTTGCTAATAGCAATTAATAGTCGATGTAAAAGTATTTTCACGGCAAGCAGTTTTGAGACTAGTTCAGTCAATCACCGCTAGATGCGCTACCGTCGAGGCTCGGGACAGTTCACCTAGTCTCCGCTAGATGCATCTTCAATCGAAAATACTTAATCCGCTATTAGTTTATATATTACTGATAGATTTTAAATGTTTAGAATATATCGAAAATAGAAACAAAATTGGTTTTAGGTAATACGTTGTAAGCTACACATTTAAAGTTGTTTTATTTTCAATCTAAAGCTGTAGTATTTGACAATAATGCATTTTTATCGGTTGACACTCGCAGTGGTTTGTTAGTTTCTCTTACAAGACTACCCACAACTGGTATAGTCGTCGCCATCGAACATCGAAGGTTTAACCACTAAAATTACTTCAATTTTTAAGAAGCCGAGAGTTGTGCCTCTTACCTGAGGCCGACGATTGGCTTATAATACAACTAGCAGAGGACCCGTCCTTTGGGGTTGAAGTATTTTTAAATGGTGCTTTTTGAAATCTGACATGAAAAAGTCAGTTCAGTAGTTATGTGCCTATTAGTAACACACATACAGACAGACACCACTAGATTTTTATATAAATAGTACAGATTAACTTGTATCCGTGTCCTCACCAACGGGATCACATAAGACCAAGGTCCTCAACCACGATGTTAAGAAGTAATAGTTCAGTCAATAAAGGTTTAGTGTCGTAACAAATGAGAGACAAGTAAATCTATATACCACTGTATAGTACCTTTGACTATTAATACAACTAGACATTCCACCCCCATGTTAAATCTGTAGCCAGCTTTGTTACTAAAGTCGTCATAGTTTACTGAGAAGGATTTTGTAAAAGAACTAGTAAATTTACTACAAATACTATTTTGTTGGGAGACGTTAGTATCGACCTTTTTGATGGAAAAAATAAAGTCTAAAAACTATCAGTACCTTTTAGAGAACAATGGGTTTTATCAATTGTTAAGAATACTACTAGAATAATGTATATTGGTTATCCTATATAATCCTAATGATTATAATAGGATGTAAAATATGTGCACATATTTTACACTAAATTTGAATAAATGGTAAAGGTATTCGTCAACTAAAGCACTAAGCCACCGGACTATATGTAGGCAAACGCCAACGAACAATATTTGTTGCAAAGAAACAACTCGTAACATTAACATGTCAATGACAGTTATAAACCAGCTGTTAGTTAAACCAGCATTGAAAATACTTTTATTTGCTAGCGTCAGCTGCTAGACATTTTAAAAATTAAAACTTAATTTCTAAAAAACTGAAACCCTAAACTAAAATTATGGCTTCGGCATTCCCAAGTTCTCAAAATTATCTTTCTTTCAACACAAAAATCATGAAAATCCGTCAAGTGGTTGATTCAGAATCGTGAAATAAAAAACCATGTTTCGTTTTAATATTATAGATATATCTATTTAAATAATTTTAGATTTAAGTACCTAGGTTTGCTGCTGCAGGGAAACTAATAAAGTGTGTTTTTTACCAACATATTAATAGCTTAGTATAAAATAAATAAATAAAATCTGCCAAGTTTTATCAAAATATATCCATAAACAAAAAACTTTTGTGTTTTAAGGGAAACAATGAGAAAATCCCATTTTACCCCATAAAACCCTCCGTTAAACAACCCCGGGTTCCCATGGTCCGATCATGCTGGTTCGCGAACTCATTCAAGTTTATCTTGCCTTACACCTCAAACCAAATGTTATCAAAATCGGATAAAAATTACCCAAGTTATCGTGTTCACGGACACATATAACTCTCTCTCTATATATAATATATACATGAGTGAAAATTTGAACGAATGTGTTTTGGTCTCTAGGGACATCAATAGAAAAAGTGAATCGGTCCCGGGCCTAGGTGTTACCGTGCCACCTAGGTAATACAGTAGGGAAATTTGCTAATAGCAATTAATAGTCGATGTAAAAGTATTTTCACGGCAAGGAGTTTTGAGACTAGTTCAGTCAACCACCGCTAGATGCGCTACCATCGAGGCTCGTGACAGTTCACGTAGTCTCCGCTAGATGCATCTTCAATCGAAAATACTTAATCCGCTATTAGTTTATATATTACTGATATATTTTAAATGTTTAAACTATATAAAAATAGAAACGAAATTGGTTTTAGGTAATACGTTGTAAGCTACATATTTAAAGTTGTTTTATTTTCAATCTAAAGCTGTAGTATTTGACAATAATGCATTTTTATCGGTTGACACTCGCAGTGGTTTGTTAGTTTCTCTTACAAGACTACCCACAACTGGTATACTCGTCGCCATCGAACATCGAAGGTTTAACCACTAAAATTACTTCATTCTTTAAGAAGCCGAGAGTTGTGCCTCTTACCTGAGGCCGACGATTGGCTTATAATACAACTAGCAGAGGACCCGTCCTTCGTTCGGGGTTGAAGTATTTTTAAATGGTGCTTTTTGAAATCTGACATGAAAAAGTCAGTTCAGTAGTTATGTGCCTATTAGTAACACACATACAGACAGACACCACTAGATTTTTATATAAATAGTACAGATTAACTTGTATCCGTGTCCTCACCAACGGGATCACATAAGACCAAGGTCCTCAACCACGATGGTTTGTGTTGTGACAAATGAGAGACAAGTAAATCTTTATACCACTGTATAGTACCTTTGACTATTAATACAAAAATAAACAAATACATTCCACCCCCATGTTAAATCTGTAGCCAGCTTTGTTACAAAAATCGTCATAGTTTACTGAGAAGGATTTTGTAAAAAAAAACTAGTAAATTTACTACAAATATTATTTTTGTTGGGAGACGTTAATATCGACCTGTTTGATGGAAAAAATAAAGTCTAAGAACTATCAGTACCTTTTAGAGAACAATGGGTTTTATCAATTGTTAAGAATACTACTAGAATAATGTATATTGATTATCCTATATAATCCTAATGATTATAATAGGATGTAAAATATGTGCACATATTTTCACTAAATTTGAATTATTGGTAACGGTATTCGTAAACTAAAGCCCTAAGCCACCGGACTATATGTAGGCAAGCGCAAACGAACAATATTTTTGTAAACAAACAACTCGTAACATTAACATGTCAATGACAGTTATAAACCAGCTGTTAGTTAAACCAGAATTGAAAATACTTTTTTTTGCTAGCGTCAGCTGCTAGACATTTTAAAAATTAAAACTTAATTTCTAAAAAACTGAAACCCTAAACTAAAATTATGGCTTCGGCATTCCCTAGTTCTCAAAATTATCTTTCTTTCAACACAAAAATCATGAAAATCCGTCAAGTGGTTGATTCGGAATCGTGAAATAAAAAAA